TTGCTGATATTTTTTTGTAGAACAAGGGGATTCGATTTGTGTGAACTAACGATTGAACCTTCGAACTACTATCTACTACCTACGATCAGGCGTAACTACCGATTTCGATCGTTACAAAAAGTTTGAAAACTCGCGCGCCAAACCGTCGCGTACGTAGGCCCGGCACATCGGCTTTGTAATTTATTTCAAAATCGCTCAAACCTGTATTCTTCACTATTATAGCAAATACTGTAAACAAATAGGAAGGAAAAGCAATTGTTTACTTGTAAAAATACTGAATGTTAAAACAAAATGAAAATAATTTGTTCCGTGACAGATAGGAAACCGTTCGTTGCCTGTGGTTTCTGTGGTGTGATGATCTCGTCTGTAATTGGTTACATCACAATAAACATTCCAGACATATTTTAGGTGTTCACGCCAATATGATCACCGCTGTAAAAGAACCGTATAAAGGAAAAGATCTGTCGGCTAGGTGAGTTTTACTGACTGGTTTTCAGAAGTCTCATCTCCCAACCGCTTGATTTACTCACTAGAGGAAAGAAAGGAAATATCATGCTGCTAGCTGTGTGCTTGTTATCTGCTGTTTGACCTCAAATGGCTACCACGCAGACTGCGCTTTATCAACGACCCGATTGTTGAAGACAAATGTTTGGTCTTGCTGGTTATAGACGTTATAAAGCCGCCAGAAACTTACTTTAATAACTGATTGCAGCTTTCTTTTAGATCTTCGAAGTTCACCTCTTCTTTCCACGCTACCAGCGTTCTTTTGTATGCGTCGCTGGATCCAATTTGAGAGCCAACAAAGTGTTTTAAATTTTTGTCAGACAAACATTGCAAGTTGCGACGTCCAGCACGCTTCCTTCAGCAAACGACGTAACAGATTTATGCTGGATTTTAGATAAAAAGCCACGCATCGCTGCAACTTTGTTCTTTCAACGGACGACTGCATTTGAACTTTTTTATATAATACGTACCTTCACTTCAGATTTCTTGTTTTGGAAAACAAAAGCTAAAAATAAGTGTCTCGCGGCCAGACTTATTTGACAGCTTGTCATTCACAGTTGCTTTATTTTTTGCATACATAACTAGTAGGCGGGATGGCCAAAACAATGGTCTCCTGGGAGGCTTTTCCTCCCCTCCCTCGTCGCGCTACCCAGCCCGCGCGTTTCTCTGGCGCCTAAAACTCCCCAAACACCTGCCACGCAGGCTAGCAAGCTATGAAAGCTATATGTCTGTCTTAGAGTGTTTTGTAATTAAGAAATGGTAAACGTGCAGCGAGCAACCATGGAGTTATGGATGCACGTGGGAGGTTGCTAAGCACGAAAGAAGCGTAAGAGTCGCACGGGGCCATAGCCGAGTGCGACTCTAGCTTCCTGAGTGCTTAGCAAACCTCCCAAGTTCATCCATAACTCCATGGTTGCACAGCTGCAACGTTTACCATTTCTTTTATAACATAATCAAAAGAGAAAATTATTATTTTCCATTTGCCTTCGGTTGAGTCATCGGTCCGAGTTCATGTATGCTGCCATTTGCCCGCCCTTTTGAGTTTTTCTTTCGCTGAATCCACCGTTCGCCGTCTTCAGGTAAATTGCAAAACGTTTTTCGTTGTTATTCTGAATGGCATCTGTCTACTTGCTCTTAATATTAGGGTAAAAACTTTGAGGGAAAACTATAGCTGCAACTATAAACACCAACTAAAAAGACTCTAAAAAATAAGCTAAAACTAGTAATAAATGAAATAATTATTAGGCTTATTTATGGGACAATTTTTGAAAGAAACGTAAAGTAGAAATGAGAAAATTTGACTGTAATTCCTTTAGAATAACAGGTAACACTAATTTTAAAAAGAAATTAACTAGCTTTGTATCGAAATCTGTCTGGGGAAATCCAGCTATGAAAGTCAAAGTCAGTTACAGCTGAAATTCGCCGACACACAGCCGGCGCTGAAGCTGTTGTTTTTCGGCCGTTCTCTGAACGACTGTTATGAATGAACTCTGAGGAACAAAATAATACACACAGAAGTTATCTTTTGAAAAATTTATTTGAAAACCCAAATGTTTCTGTACTCAAATGAAATTCGCTTATTCCAGTATAATGTGCCTGTTTAAACTCAACTAAAATTTTTAATCGACGCGATTAAAACTTCACAACAAACTGCCGTCTCGAATTTGAGCGTGTTTCCTAAAATTTTTGCTTGAATTTAGAATCAGCTTGACCAAAAAGTCAATAACACAATGCTAATTGATAAATTTACATTTCAAACAGACTTTCTCTTCTATAAAAAACACGCAAAATGTACCTTAAATCTTTGCTCGCTCGATTTTCCTTCAGCCGATTTTAGCCGCGAGGAAAACAGTGATTATTCATTTAGGGCAAATTTGTCGCTTGATCTTTTGTCTTTTTTCTTTCAAAACGACAGCTTAGTATTTTCTTCAACTTCCACTTTTCATCTATGCATTTCATCGGTGTATTTTACCGTCAGGAAAGGAGATTTTTGTTGAATTTGCCTAAATTTTACCGCGCTAGCTCAGTTTCTTTGCGTGCATCCATGGGCAAATGATAGTGGCCAACTGACCAATCAGAGCGCGCGATCTACTTTTGTTATGTTATAATAGGTGATTTTCTTGTAGGAGACCCTCCACCAGTTATTTTTTTCGGCATTTATTAGTAAAAGATGTGTTTTTTTGTTACAAATAAAACACGCGTAGTAAAATTTCCATTTCCGGCACTTTTAGTACGTCCTGAAAACTGGAAAGCACAGTACGTAACTGGTTGTTCGGAAGAAGGCTTTTCTTTTTCTTTTTGATTTTTATTTAGAAAATTACTGTTGCGATCCGTTCACTAAGAATCTCTGCTGATGCGGTTACATTTCGAAAACAATATTTTTGTGGTCTCGCATTCGGCCTTTTGCTTTTAATCACCTGGAGACTTTGGTTTGGTTTTAGTTTGATTATTTCACGTCGTATAGTTAAAAAGAAACGTTTCGGTGTGGCCCACACAATGTAAATAAATTTGAGTAAAGTGGCCTAGTGTTCTGAAGTTGCTCTGTTTGAAAAGACATTTGTAATTTTTACAATAAAATCGATGATGAATTACAGAGGTTTCGGTTATCGTTACAGGAGACAAAAGCATATTTTGATTGTGTTAATTGCTCCTGTAGGAATAAAATGTCATATGAGTTAGCGAGATTAACACAGGATGACGTGCGAGTAATAAGTTCCAGGGATTTCTTATAGTTTCCGATCTTCGGGTCAACACTTCCTTAGTTTGTTTTATATTGCGCAATCGGTCAATTCAGATGACCGTCGTGCACGTTTCCAAGGCTTGCGGGTCATCATGAGTACACACCACACGGCTTACCTCTGTCTCGTTTTCCTTTTAATAAGCCCCGAAAACGCGCAGTGTTTTGACCTAAATGGTTCTTTTCCAGTATCTCGTTGTTGTTGTGTACTATCTGGCCTTTGTCTGCTAATTATTCCCTTCATATTTTTGTATTTATTCAAAACATTCGAAAATAATCCAAAAATTCCCAAACATTTATTGTACCAATAACTTCAACCCTACTGAGCCATTTTGAGATTTTATGAAATCTTAGCTAGATTTGGAAGAAAAAAGGCGAAAGTAAGCGAAAACAAAGTCTTACATATAAAGAACGTTCACAAACACACCGACCATTTGAAACCATGGTTAGCACCATTAGCTGTGGGTGAGTGATCTCTCCCCCTACTACCACGCTGAAAGGCTCCAGTATTTTGACAGCCAAAGAAGTAGATATTGCAATATGTAAACCAAACTGAAAAAAAAAAAGCTCAAAGAAAAACTCAGCTTCGATGGAAATCCGAATAGCAAAGGCGCCCACTGTGTCGAAAGCAGACCAAATGCATTAACTATTCGGTGCGAGGAAATCAAACCCAGAGGCCTCTTTAGTCTGCGCATAAATCATATCATAATAATGTGTTATCAAGGAAAAAAAAAAAGGACTGTTGTTTTGTTGTTGCAGCTGTTCTTTTGCAAGAAACTATGCTGGACAAGGCAAACCGTCCCATGTGGACATAGATAGACAGAATTTCTAGTTTGAATTATCTTGGACCTTTGTTTGAATTAATTACAGTAGAACTCCGTTAATACGGTCACCAATGCGTCAAAAGAACTTGATTTGGCCGTGTTAACGGGGCAGGCTCAAATTTCATGACTTGATGGCCGTAATCACAAATACACCGTACAGTTCGCATTTCTTGAACAACTGTTCGCATTGATAAACAACCGGAATGAAATCACGTACAGTAGTTTGAAAAAAAAAACTACTTAAAAGAAAACTACTCCCTTCAGTAAAACATAAAACACTTTTAAAATTCGGCTAGAAAATCGCAACAAGTGCACTTTATGTGTACTGTAATCTAAAAACAGTACAAAAACAGGCTCAGAGTACTGGGTCAATAAAATTGACAAGTCACAGGCATTTTAATTTTCTAAATTTCGAACAAGTGGACGTATTGACGGGGTGAAGCTATAAGAGGTTCTACAGTTTGGGATTTTAAAATGTGGCTGTTGGCCGTATTAACCGGGTGACCGCATTAACGAGGGTTCTTTTATAAGGACATGTATGGTCGTTTTGCAGGGCAGAAAAAAGTGGCCGTAATAATGAGGTGACCGCGTTACCGAGGTGGCCATAGGGCGGGGTTCCACTGTACAATGTAAAGTGCTCAAGTTACATAGTAAAACTATGAAATAATGATTCTTGTTTCAGCATGATGACAGCTATAACGGATACCCTAATTCCATGTTAGAAACCTTTTTAAAGGATAATTTGAACTTCAGCACTGTTCATACGATATGACTGACACGTGAAGTTTAACCATAGTTCATAGACTGCAATGGTTATAGGTCTCGTCAGACTTCTTTGTTATATGTGTTTTTTCGGTTTTTGGACTTTAAAGTGTACTAAAGGTTCAGTAGCATGCATTCCTGCCATTTTGAACAAACTGACCAATAGAAGCGTCTCTTTAATTCAATTAATCACAATTTGCGAACCAAAACTCAAAGATTGCGCACTTTTAGGGATCTCTTAACTTAAACCGTAACACCCTTGTTTTCATTTCTTTTCTTTATGCCGGCTTTTATAACCACACTCTTCTAATTATGATACAACTTACCATCAATACAAGCAACTTTATCTTAGTACACAATCATGATAAACGAGATACGATTGCCTTAATCCTAATCCTTACCGGTAAGCCTATGTAACGAATGACAGACGCATGTGCAAATTAATTCGGAAAATCCCTAATGACCATTGAGAGAAAGTCATTTGAGGTCTTTTTAAATATATTTTAGGGGTTTATTACATTTGGAACACCATTTGTAGATTTAACAAGGCCATTGCACAGGTACCGAGTAGTGTGGTGCTTACAAGATCGTACCTTGGAGGACACTAAAAAGGTGAGTTGATATACAAACTGTCCAAGTAAAACATAATAGATATTCCAATTTAGAAGTTCGTTAACATTGTCTTTCTATTTAGTCACTTAAAACATGGCAAAAAGGTATTTTAGTTGCCTCGAACAAAATTTGGATCAAGTGATTTATAAATTTGCACGTGGGTCTTAAATAATTGAACCTGTCTTGCAAGGAACTGAATGTACAAGTAGATTCATCGGAAAATGGTATGACAGATGGTCTGGGGTTAATAAAAAATAAACAACTGTAATGTCGATTTAAAAGTACTAACATAAAAGTCATTTTGTGACTCTATTAAGGTCACCGTCAAGCATTTATTCCCGAATTTCGAGGACAATATAAAACAGTTATTACGAGAACTTTGTAAAGTAGTCTTGGTAATGCCTATAGGTGTAAATGTGATTTTAAAAAAGCAATCGAATTCTATCACTACAGTCTTAGAATTCGATTGGCTACTTCTTTAACCAGCGTAAGGCTGCCTGGCGGAGTGTTCCTCAGAGCGCCTAGTGCGTCTGGTGTACTGCTCGTTAGTAATCCATGGGTGGAAACTTTACGCGTCAAGGGTAAAAAATTAAAGCAGCTCCCGGGTGCCGAAGATGAAGTAAAAATGATGGGAAAGATACTACAGATCGAGCCTCTCACTAGAGAAAACGCTTCAAAAGATGAAGTGTTAAGCAGACTAAACTCAGTTTCTTTGGTAAACGTTGCATCGCGTGGTCGTGCAGAAACCGGCGAAATTCTTTTGTCTCCTAATCCTGGCAGTTGCCAATGACTCAAAGCGAAAGACTTTCTTTTGACGATCGCAGATGTGTTGAATGCGAAATTGAACGCCAAGCTTGTTGTCTTAGCTGCTGTCACAGTGGGCGAAGGACGATCCAAGCTGAAGGCGTGGTTGGTATTGCACGTTCTGTTATTGCGTCATGATCACGGTGGGCGATTAACGACAGCCACTTAAGAGTTTATGAACAGTTTTACGAACATTTGATGACAGGGAAAAGTACATGTAACTCGCTTCATCAGGCCACGAAATGGATGCGGGAATCTGAAAAGTTTTGTGCGGTGAAGAACTGGGCTTTCGGGTTCGTGCTGATTGGAGATGACGTGTCCTTAAATTTTAACCCAAGTTAAAAAATAGTATGTTTTTAAAGAGATATAAGCATTGCAATTCGAAAATGTATGAAGCATTGTTAATTTATAGTTACTGATCGCTAACTAGAGGAAAATCCAAAACCATCGTTTGCGAGTAGCTGATAAGGGGAAAATTTGTAGACATATTTTTCTGTGAATTTTCTGCAAACGTGAATGAAAGGTTACTTTCCTTGAGCCAACAGCGCTCGCGTGTGCTTGTCTGAAACAGCGCTCGCGCATGCTTTCAGAACAAAGAGATTTAGAGTTATGGTTACGGCAAACGGCAAGTTGAGAATATCTCAAAATAGAAAAGAAGCTAATGAAAACAGTCCCAGACAATTCCTATGGATTATAATAATGTGAAACTGATCATTTTTTGTACAACTACGGAACAGTGAAAGACAAGTAAATGGAAAACTTCGTCACGTGGTACAAATTCACGTTTGTCGTTTGCCCGGCGTAAACAGCAAGTCGGGCCAACCCTCAAGTAATTGAAACATCTGATGACTTATAAATCAAATATAAAAGGTCTATTTTAGGCAATAAAAATGATTTATTGGAAGTCGTTTGATTGACAGATTTCCAATTGGGCCGAGTGGTGACAAATGTAATTATAATAAGTCCTAAGGCGGCCGATGATTTGATAAAAAATGTAATAAAGCTCTCAAATGTTGACCACAAATGTAATAGCTTGTAATAAAAACCATATTCGAAAACATAATTAGAAGAGATTTTACTACGATCGTTATGAGCGATTTCCCGAAATCGCTTGTGCATGCGTATACGTCAGGAAACACAAAATCAAGTTTTCCTTTAAATAAGCCCCGAAAACGCACCGAGATTTAACTTACCTTGAGACACGAAATTTTTGCGAGAGTTTATTTTTGCGGATCGGCGATTTTTTTTGTATTTAGAGGAAACTAATTTTTACGATTAGGACTGACTGATTTTTCTTCCTGGGAATAAATTTTTGTAATTTTCACAAAGTCCCAACCAAATTATTGATAATATTTTCGTTTTTTTTTTAGTACGGTCCAATGGAAATACAGTAGAGCCCCGGTAACTCGAACTCTGAAGGGAAACGAAAAACAGTTCGAGTTAGCGGGGGTTCGAGTTATCGGGGTCGATTGAAAAATTCAATTCGCCATGTTATTAGAATTGATAGTTACTGATTTCTCAGCACTTCAGTGTATGGTGCGATGCAAATTTACTTATTTCATCAGAAAAGGTAACATGATTAGGCATTTTTAGATAAAACGTGATCTATTCGTTTCACTTATAGTGTTTTTACCCTTTTACTGTAAGAAGAGCAAATGGGATGGGATCCTTGTGGAGTTAAAAGAACCAGCATTCGAGTTACTGGGATAAATTTCAGTGACTTTTTGATCAAGGGAAAGGAAATTTAGTTCGAGTTAGCGGGGAATTCGAGTTATCCGAGTTCGAGTTAACCCAGTAAAAATGACTGGGAAGTGGGGTGAAATCCAAGGGAAATTGGACTCAGTTCGAGTTAGCGGGGTGTTCGAGTTATGGGGGTTCTACTGTACATATTTTCAGACAGTACTATAATTCGGTGTACGTACCCTATGTAAAACCGGTAAAACAGATTACTCTTCTTTGTCATTCATTCCAATCGTTTAGTTTTTAACAAAAAAAAGAGGTCTTAATTGAACAAACTCGATTTCTGAGTATTCGTATTCTTAACAATTCAGAGGCCAACTCACAAAGGCGCCCACTGTTTTGGTAGAAAAGCAAATACAGTAAGGAGAATCAAACCCAGAGGCTTCTTTGACGCCTTTCGCTTTCTCAGCTCATAAATCATATCATAATAATGTGTTATTAAGGAATTTGCTCAGTTCTAGATTTGTATAGAGCTTTCTAATGTTGTTATTGCAGGTGTCCCTCTTGCAGGTCACTAGCTTTGTTTAAAATACGTGATCTACTGAAAAAACAATCGCTGTTGTTTTCTTACTGCAGCTGTTCTTTTGCAAGAAACTGTGCTGGGCAATGATAACCGTCCCATGTGGACGTAGATAGACAGAACTTCTAGTTTGAATTATCGTGGACCTTTGTTTGAATTAATTAAAGTGCTCAAGTTACATCATAATATACTATGAAAGAATGATTTTTGTTTCAGCATGATGACAGCTACAACGGTACCCTGATTCCGTGTAGGATAATACTTGTTGTGTAAACTTGAGGATTGTTCATACGATGTGACTGACACTGTGCATGGTGCAATGGTTATGGGTCTCGTCAGACTTCTTTGTTATATGTGTTTTATCGGTTTTTGGACTTTAAAGTGTGCTGAACGTTCAGTAGCATGAATTCCCGCCATTGAACAAACTGACCAATGGAAACGTCTCTTAAATTCAATTAGTCACAATTTGCGAACCAAAACTCAAAGATTGGCAACTGTCAGGGATCTCTTAACTTAAACTGTAGCACCGTTACGTCTTCTTGTAATTATGATGCCACATACTGTACATACAAGCAACTTTTTCTTAGTACACAAAAATGATAAACAAAATATGATTGCCAAAATCCTGATCCCTACTGGTAACCCTGTGGTATGACTGACAGATGCAAGTTCAAATTAAGTCGGAAAATCGCTTATGAGCATTGAGAGAAAGTCATTTGAGGTCATTTTTTATTAATTTAAGGGCTTTATTACATTTGTTACCCCATTTGTATCTTGAACAGGGCCATTGCACAGATACCGATCTTGAGTAGTCTGGTGCTTACAAGATCGTTCCCTGAAGGACACTAAAAAGGTGAGTTCATATACCAACTGTCCAAATAAAACATAATTCCAATTTAGACGTTCGTTAACATGATTGTCTTTACATTAAGTCTCTTAAACGTCGCAGAAAGAAATTTTAATTGCCTAGAAGAAACTTAGTGGAGCAAGTGATTATTAAATTTACACGGTCTTGAATAATAGAACCCTTCTTGCAAGGAACTGAACAAGTAGATTCATCGGCAATATAGTATGACAGATTGTCTAGGGTTAATAAAAAAAATAACTCGTGTCGACCTAAAAAATACGAATTAGAAGTCGTTTTGTGAGCTAAGGTATTAAGGTCACCGTTAAGCCTTTATTTCAGAATTTCGAGGGAAAAATATAAATTAAAACAGTTATTCACTTCAGAGAGCTATGTTTTGTAAATAAAATCGTGGCATTTAGTAGTTCAACTTGTATCATGAAGAAAGTACAAAGAACTTAATTCCTGGTTAATGAAACACAATAGATATATAATTAGGTACACGTTTTCGGGCCTTGAAACTCAGTCCAGTTTAAATTAAGATTAGGATTGAAAGAGATCATTGCCGAATTAGAAAAGAGAAACTGTTTCAATAGTTTTGTCTTTTACCGATAGCTTTAACTTCCATTTAGTTCTTGGCTTACTTCCTTTTAAAACCAATCATTTCGTCAAAACAAATGTTTTCTCTGAAGATAAAGTTGCCAAGGAAATGCACAGTTTTAGCCAAATGTGAATTCAATCATCTTTGTGTAATAATTTTGGTGAACTTAAAGTAAATGTCATAAGCACAAGTTTCTCCAGATGCGTTTGTCAGAGTTTGTTTTGTTCATGCTCAATATTTTCCAGTTGTGGTAGTGAAGAATGAGAGTCGAACGCAGATCAACAAAGCAAATTGAGTAAACCTTTCAACGATTAACAAACAGATAAGTTGTAAAATAAAAGGGACGCAAACGAATACTTTTTCTATGATCTGTGACCGGTTTAATTAAATTTGATTACGTTATCTGGCATAGATTGGGATTTACGACAACTTTTAGGTCTGCCGTGTTTTTAATTAGTTATTTCAAGAAAAGAAAATTTTGAATGATCGGCCTTACTTATGGAGTCGATACACGAGTAACCCAGTAAGTGGCGCATTCACTCGGAAACAAAAACAAATTTTTGTTTAGAATGAAAGGAAAATTCAGATTCTGCATAAAGGGTAGCCGAGTCACCCTATGAAGAATTTCAAGTCCATTTTGAGTTGCGAGTGTAATTCTCTTGTCTTTCATATTCAAACAAAGTGCTCTACATTTTAAGAAGCAAATTTAAAACGCACATTAAATGTTAAATAAATCGATATCATCTTAAAAGGGACGATAACACAAATATTAGTTTAGCGTAAAGATAGAATTAAGAGTTCATAAAACATTTAAATACATAAAGTACACTGAAAGTAATTAAACGATAAACGCATGAAGACCAAGCGTTAAAATATTATCGCACGCAGGCAATCAATGCACTCACAGAATTTGGCACAGCGAATCAACAAATTAAATATGATAAATTACAAAATGTAATGGTAAGGCAAAATGTAATAACTTTTAACCCAAAATATCGAGGGTGTCTGTAAAACTAGGAACAGGCCCGGAACACCCCACAACACCCCCGGAACACATCTGGAACACCCCTGGGACATTCTCAGGACCCCACGAACAACACTTGATGGGGTGGATCCCCGGAACACCTTTAATTACCAAAACTAGGTCAAAAAAAAAAAAATTCAAAAAACAAACAAAAAATCATCAATGAATCAAAAAATATTATGATTCTTGTCTTGTTTTCTCTGATTTTGATATTTTGTCTTTGCTTAAAAAGAAACATATTTTTTGTTTCAGTGTTTCATTTTCGTTTTTCAGCTGATCTTTGATGAATTGGGCAGATATTTAGTGAAAATATTGTAAATGCTTCATGGGCCATCCGCGTGGGTCTAATCGAACTCTTTTCTTTTATTTAGTTTATTTTTTTTCTTGACTTTATGAGGGCTCTTTGAGCTATATTTCAGACGAAAAGCTGGTAAGTTTTCTTATAAAAGCCAACGGACTACTTTCTTAAAATCTTCAAAAGTCGTTAAGTTGCGTGAATTCGTCAATCTGACCCAATCTCCGTTTTCCAGTTACAGATAAAAGATGCTTATTGATTCATTGATGATATTTAAAGGGTTTTTTGGTTTTGTTATTTTTTTTTGCCTAATTTTTGTTATTAAGGGTGTTGGGAGGGGGTTCTGTTCTGGAGTGTTACGGGCGTGTTCCTGGTTTTACGGAAACCTAAAAGAGAATAACATTTGGCACAAAATGTATCGAACGCGAGACAATGCATTAATGCAAACGAAATTACCATTTTTTTTTTTTATTTCGAGAGCCTTTGTAATGGCTACAACGTCTCTTTTGAGTAATTAAAGTAACTAAGTAATTCAGTTATCGATTGCCATATGATAAAACTTTGAATGGACTGGAGTGGTAAAACATGGACTAGAGTGATAAATCATGGAGTGATAAAACATGGAGGAATAAAACATGGAGTGACAAAACATGTAGAGTGATAAAACATGGAATAATGAAATAAAATACCGACAGCTCTCTCTTAAATGACGCCTCTATCTGACGGACACTTCGTGTTCGTTCCTGACTTTTTCAGTCATATTACTATAAATAATAATAGAAGGACAACGGACACTTAAGGAGCGCTTTTTTAGGGAAAATACTTCAAACAGAAATGTAGGAAATGACCATGGAAATGTCATGGTCAGCTCCTACATTTGTTCCCCTGAAAATAAAAAAGCGCTTCTCAAGTGTCCGGTGTCCGTCTATGGATTTACAGTAATATGACTGAAAAAGGCAGGAACGAACACGAAGTGTCCGTCGTTAATAGAGAGTTGACTGTATTTTATTTCATTATTCCATGTTTTAACACCCCATGTTTTATTACTCCATGTTTTATCACCCCATGTTTTATTACTCCATGTTTTATCACCCCATGTTTTATTACTCCATGTTTTATCACTCCATGTTTTATTACTCCATGTTTTATTACTCCATGTTTTATCACTCCGGGATGATGTTTTATTACTCCATGTTTTATCACTCCATGTTTTATTACTCCATGTTTTATTAC